TTTTTTTTTTTTTTTTTTTTTTTTTTTTTTTTTTTTTTTTTTTTTTTTTTTTTTTTTTTTTTTTTTTTTTTTTTTTTTTTTTTTTTTTTTTTTTTTTTTTTTTTTTTTTTTTTTTTTTTTTTTTTTTTTTTTTTTTTTTTTTTTTTTGTTGCCATTTGTTTTGTTAAATAGAAGTTCTAATAAATTTCTGAGAATTTTTCTATTAATAAGAGTGCTGGATAACTTTGTTGAAGTGAAATAAAACTAAAAATCCAAATAGCTATGTACTTTTATTACATATAACATCGTCTAGCGACACTATTTAAGAGAAATACACGATATGTCTCAAAATTTCTAGAACTTTCTTGTTACCGACAGTACATATCGCGCCATTTGTCGTATCGATAGTGGACTATGTTCGTAGAAGTTTATATGTATGTATACAGCGCCAAAATCGTTCGTTGATTCAGTTTGCTAGTACCTTGACAAAACCACATCTTTCATCACAAAATGTCGATCGAGAAAAGGGCAAACATTAAATTTTGTTTAAAGTTGGAGGAGACGTTTACTCAAACGTTGGCATTATTGTGGGAGCTTATGGGAACGAAGCCTCATCGGAAACAAATATGCACGTGTGGTTCGATCGATTTAAGAAAGAACGTGAATCGCTGGAAAACGACTCACAGCGACCATCAACAAGTCGAAAACGTTAAGAAAATTTGGAAGCTACTCAACGGAGATCGTTGTCTGTCCGTCAAATTGATGGAGGATGCCACTGGAATCAGTAAGTCTCAAATATAATACATCGCACTGTGACTGAAAATTTGAAGATGCGAAAGGTCTGTGCGCGTTTTGTTCCTCAAACTTTAACAGACGACCATAAACAGGTTCGCATTCTTCACGCTCGAGATGTCATTTCGATCACTCGGAAAGTCCCAAATTTTTTGAAAACTATCGTTACTGGTGATAAAACATGGTAGTTTTAATACGAGCCACAAAGTAAACGCTAGAGCTCGGAATGAAAAATTTCAGAGAAATACCAAAAAGTACTCATGCAAAAATCGAGAGTGAAGACAATACTCATCATTTTCTCCGATTACAACGAGCTGATACAGCATCGGGAGTTCGTCCCACCAGGCCAGATAGTCACCGGGGAGTACTGTGGGTATTATGAAGCATTTGATAAAAAAAATCAATCAGGTTCGTCCACAATATTGAAAGTAAAGCAGCTGGTCGCTTCTCCATGACAATGCATCGATTCATGTGCAACTTTTTGTCTCAAAATCGGTCCAGATCATCGACATCCACCTTGCTCTCCAGATTTGGCATCGTGCGATTATTTCCTATTCCCGAAACTCAGATTACAGTTGAAAAGGCAGTTCTTCGACGATATTTCTATCATCCAGAATATAACCGACATTTCTTATGTTCTTAGTGGCATTTTAGCAGAGGAGTAACAGAAACGTTTTTGAAAGTTTTTAGACTAATGCAATGCAAGCATTTCATCGGAAGGATGTATTGAATAAAATTTTATTCAATATTTTGAATAAAATTTAATAAAGATTTCATTTCTTAGCAAACGAAGTGAGCTTTATTAAAAGTTCCGGAACTTTTGAGACACACCGTGTATTACGAAGCTGGATTCTACTTAGCAAAACTTTTCAAATGATATTCGTGATTAATATTTTATGCATTTCATTTGTTATTATTTAATAATTTTTATAAGATATTACATAATATTTTATATAATTATACTATATAATTTTATACTATATAATTTAATGAAATAATACGTAATATATAATACATTAAAAATACGTGCCTATTTCATGTAATTTTGTATAAAGAATATAAAAATATAAAATACTCGGTTCTAAAAAGAAAGTAGTAAACATTTAAGATTGATTGTGTTTCATGACTGTAAATATCCTATTCAACAAAGTTGCACATAAACAAAGTAAGTATCACAAATTATTAATTTCTGCAATAATCAATTAAATATATTTGTAAAATTACAATTAATTATATTTGTAAAATTACAATTAATTATATTGTAAAAATGATGTATTTACTAGGTGCGCAACTAACTTTCCGGGTTTTTTTGATCAATGGAAAATGGAAAATTTCAAGAGAAATACTAAAAATGGTTTATTCAAAGTATCGTCCCTCGCTGGCTACACATTTTTGCCATCTCGCTGGAAATACATGAATATCGCGACGATAAAACGACGCGTCTTTGGACCGAAACCATTCATCCAACCAATTTTGCATTTCTTCGAAATAGGCCAAGTGTTGCCCAGCCAAGCCATGCGCCATCGACTGGAATAAGTGATAATCGGAAGGAGCCAGGTCTGGCGAATACGGCGAGTGCAGTGGCAGATCCCATTTCAGCGTTTTGACGGTGTCCTGGACGATGGAAGTGCGATGGCATGGAGCGTTGTCGTGCTGCAATATCACTCGTTCGTGTCTCGTGTCCCATTCTGGCCGTTTTTCGAGCAATGCATGGTTCAAATTGATCAGTTGTTGTCGGTAGCGATGCCCATTGAACCGGTTTCAGCAGCTTATAGTACACGATTCCTTTCTGATCCCACCAAACGCAGAGCATTGTCTTTTTTCCGAAGCGATTTGGCCATGCTGTCGATGTTGATGCTTCGCCAGGTGAAAACCACGATATTTTGCGTTTGGGATTCTCGAAATATATACACTTCTCATCGCCAGTAACAATTCGATACAGGAAACTCTTTCTTTCATGCCGCAAAAGCAAAATTTCGGAAGTGGCTCTTCGATTTTCCATCTGTCTCTCAGTCAACTCATGCGGCACCCATTTTCCTTCCTTTTGAATTTTTTCCATGGCGTATAAACGTTTGGAAATACCTTGGCGAGTCATGTTTAATGCCTCCGCAAGTTGATCTTGTGTTTGCGTATCATCTTCATCCAATAACGCTTGCAGATCGGCGTCCTCAATTGTTTTTGGTCTTCCCGAGCGCTCCCTGTCCTCAGTGTCGAAATCGCTACTTCTGAAGCATTTAAACCAATCTTCACAGATAGTTTTCGATGGTGCATGTTCGCCGTAGGCCTCCTCGAGCAAACGACGTGCTACAGCTGCACTTTTTTTCAAGTTAAAGCAGAAAAGCAAAGATTCCCGCAAATGCTGTTCATTTGGCACAAAATTCGACATCTTTGTTGTTAGAAAAAATATTTTTGCATTGCGATATGTGTTGGTATTACGACTGGTTATTGTTAACAGATGTCCAAGCTATAAAAAAACAGAAATTCAGACATGTATGTCGACTACATGTGTCGTTAGTGCCATCCATGTGTGAAACCCGGAAACTTAGTTGCGCACCTAGTATTGAAAAAATATTGAAAATAGATGGAAATACGTATCCACAGACACACACACATTTTGGATATATATTCATTTTCTACTTTCTTCTAATATTTTTTGTTTTCTATATACAATTTATTATACGTATAACTTCTTTTAAGTATTACGACACAAGTCGAAAGCGAAATATGTGTATATATATATATATATATATACAGGGTGTCCCATTTTAAAGGATCCACTCAAATATCTCAAAAACACTGCGTTAAATTGAGAAATGCTTAAGACAAAAGTTGTTTAGCTTGAAGGGGAACATAGGACAGCAATAGCATTTTATTTATAGATGGCGCCATTTTCGAGATATTCATTGATCATCAATTTTCGTAAATAGAAATCCCAATCTTTTATTATATCATCTTTTTCTACCAACTAATTTGAGTAACTCTTGTCTGATATATTTTTTTATTTGCTTAATATTTTGTAAGATATTTAAAGAAAACTTGGTAACTTTTTCAACATTTAACTTACGATATCTCGCTAGCTATTCGTCGAAAGAAAAAATAGTATTAGACTGTCTTACTTTATTTACTATCAAGAATATATTACTATAACAGTGCCCTAACTTTTATTAACTTATCGACCTATGGAAATTTCAAAATTATTAAATTAATAAAAGTTAGGGCATTATTATAATAGTATATTCTTGATACTAAATAAAGTAAAAAAGTCTAATTCTATTTTTTCTGTCGACAAATAATTAGTGAGATATCGTAAGATAAATGTTGGAAAAGTTACCAAGTTTTCCTTAAGCATCTCAAAATATATTGAGCAAATAAAAAAATGTTTCATACAGAAATTATTCAAATTAATTAGTAGAAAAAGATGATATAATGAAGAAGTTGGATTTCCATTTAAAAAAATTGATAATCAGTAAAATCTCGAAAATGGAGACATCTATAAACAAAATACTATCGTTGTCCTATGTCCCCCTTCAAGCTAAACAACTTTTGTCTTAAGCATTTTTCGATTTAATGCAGTGATTCTGAGATATTTGAGTGGGTCCTTTAAAATGGAACACCCTGTATATATATATATATATATATATATATATAGTATATATAGATATATATATATAATGAATATATAAAAGCATTATTTCCACACGTTATATTTTATATTTAGATGCACAATTTTTATTGTTTAATCTCAGTGCCTTTGACAAATATTAGACTTCAATATCAGTTATTATCTTGAATATTCTGAAAAAAAATAAAAAAAAATATATGATAAATTTATTAAAAACGACAAATAATTAGTGAGATATCGTAAGATAAATGTTGGAAAAGTTACCAAGTTTCCTTAGCATCTATATATTAGCAAATAAAATCATACAGAAATTCAAATTAATTAGTAGAAAAGATGATATAATGAAGAAGTGGATTTCCATTTAAAAAATTGATAATCAGTAAAATCTCGAAAATGAGACATCTATAAACAAAATACTATCGTTGTCCTATGTCCCCCTTCAAGCTAAACAACTTTTGTCTTAAGCATTTTCGATTTAATGCAGTGATTCTGAGATATTTGAGTGGGTCCTTTAAAATGGAACACCCTGTATATATATATATATATAGTGAATATATATATATATGTAATATATAAATATATATATAATGAATATATAAAAGCATTATTTCCACACGTTATATTTTATATTTAGATGCACAATTCTTTATTGGTGTTAATCTCAGGCCTTTGGACAGCATTTGAGCTTCAAGATCACGGTCTTCATCTTGATATCTGAAAAAAAATATTAATAAAAATATATTGATCGAAAATTATCTAAAACGATCACATATTATTAAAACTATAGTTATATAACCATAATCTTCGATTTATATAATATATAGGTTACATATTGATCATATACAGGCAATAAATCTTGAAACCATGAAAGAAGGAGGGGCGTACTAGGTGGCGACGGGACGCCGTGCGTTCGGGACCTGCATCTTATTTTCGTTCCGAAGAGAGAAAAGTATCGAAAGCGCGGGAGTCGCTAGACCGGGAATCGAACCCGGGTCTTTCGCTTGCCGTGCGACTGCTCTAAACCACTGAGCTATCTGACGCTCCACGCTCACGACACTCTCCTCTCCCTAGATAACGTTGAGAGATGTCGTTCGAAAGTGACATCTCTAGTGCTATCCCGAGCGCACGGCGACTACAGAGAGAGGCTTTGTTTACTTGTACCTAGTGGTACAAACTGGTGTCTCTCAAAGTCAAAGGTTGCTTGATTATGAGGCAAAGGTTGCATGATCCGAAATTCCCGCATTCGGACTACAGGACATGGTACTTTATGCTAAAATAAACAACTTTTCCCTTTAGCAAAATTGCGTCCGACAAGTAGATTTTGCAAGAGAACATATTAAAGTTAATGAATAAGCGCTCTTGCCTATGTAGCGCTCAGGGCCGACGTGCGCGCCTCACTCGCGTGTACCTAGTCAGTGACTAAAATTCATAAGTAACATCTTTTAAGACGTTCATACGATTCTGTTATGATTAGTTTACGACATCTTAAAACTGTACTTAAGACAATCTTAAATAATAAGAATCAACTATGAACAATATCGGGATTTGACTTTCTTTCATATTGTATTGCTTAAATAATGAAAAGTTAATAAAATAAGTACTGCCTTTATTTCTTATGTAATAAATGAATAAAAAATTGTCTGATTGCACAATATCATCTGAAAATAAAAACAAATGTAAATAGTAATATGCTTTACGAGTTGTGAAATACCGGTATTATTTATAGTAGATATTTATTATTTAAGATTGTCTTAAGTACAATCTTAAGATGTAAACTAAACACAACAGAGCCGTATGAGCGTCTTAAAAGACATTACTTATGAATACTAGTCACTGACTAAGTACACGCGAGTGAAGCGCGCGAGCCAGCCCAGAGCGCTGTATAGACAAGAGCGCTTATTCGTTAATTTTAACACGCTCTTCTGTAAAAATTAATTATCGGACGCAAAAGGAAAAAGTTGTTTGTTTTAGCATAAAATATCATGTCCTGTACTCCGAATGCGGGAATTTCGGATCACTCTATATATATGTAACATATCAATTTTTATTTTTATAAAAATTTCAAAACTCGTGGAAACAGTATAATTTTCATAATGATCTTAGAGTTCGTGGAAATATAAAATTTGGGTAAATTAAATATTCAACATTCCAGGAAAATCTGAATAAATTATGGAAAGTATAAAAAATTATAATAAAATTTTTTTATTAAACAACTTTTTTCATATTTTCAATTTTACATTTTATATTTTCAATAATATTTACTGTAGATCCTTTTATAAATAAATACTTTTAAAATTTTTAAATATGTGTGAAACTTTACGTATGTAGTGTATACGAAAATAGTTTATTTAAGTTTTATGGAAGAAAAAGATTTACGATTTTATGAATTTTGTCCATGCGTGACTATACAGGATGCCCCAGAATAGTACTATTAGTACTAGTAGTACACAATAGTAGGGGAACATGGGGCAAAATGGAGCACGGGGCAAAATGGTTTATGGTCTTTATTGCACTAGCAAGTAGTGCTATCTCGCGAGAAACTTCAGAACTCTGTTTAAATAATGTAATAGATATAACTATAACAGCGGGGAGCCACTTAATGAATCGTTGTGTTTATGGTAACACGTAGCCCCTGTTTTAGCAATACTTTATAACTTTTCAGTGCCGTTCATATCCATGTAAGTATCTTAATGGTACAGTAAAGTAATTTGTGCCTATATAACACTTTAGGATACTGCATTTAGCATTAATTTTCATTATTGTCATTAGATTTTACCGTGAGCTTCTATTCTATTAAATCTATCGTCTATTAAAAAATCATAACCCTTAATGAAACATATGGGACAAGACGAGTAGAGCAAAACGGAGTACCACTCCGCTTTGCCCCAAGTACACTGATAGAAAAGGTTTTGCTAATTTTACAAAATATTGGTACTCGCAACAAATGATTTGTTACTTTCTATTTGCTGCTGCTTTTACAAATATACTTCTGAGGTTAGCAGTGACATTGCAGCAAATAAGTTGTATTATAATATGTTCACTGCACATTCTTTTTCGAGTCGGCACGAACTTTTATGGCATATATATAACTCGGATCTGTATCACAGTAAGCGTTTAAATGTGGCAGAATACGAAGTTGCAGTATGAGCAATATGAGCAAGGAAATAAGAAGAAATCAAAACAACCGAAAGAACTATCTCCATCATCATCATCTTGCTTTCATAAACAATATTTGATTCAGATTATTGCTTTTATTTTTATTTATTTCTAACATTTCAAAGGTAACCCATTTTGCCCCACTCCTGGGGCAAAACGGTATATTAGCACTTTGTTTTAAATCATACATTTCCTCATATAAAAAATTTTTTTGATGTACTTTAGTACAGGTTTTTTGTCAAAGAATGAAATAATAGATATATGCTTTGAAACTAATATTTTGTACATTTTTGCCTTTTTTAGACATCCATAAAAATTAAGTACTCCGTTCTGCCCCATGTTCCTCTATTATTGTTCTGAAATACCTTGTATATAATCACATATAATTATACAGGATATCCAGAAAAATTTTTACAGAGTTCGTGGAGATATAAACCGGATTAAGACAAACATAATAGTCCTATACCGTTTTGTGATATTTGCTATTGTTATCGAGTTATTAATTACAAAAATCTGACGAGTAAGCGCACGCCGCGATGGATGATTAGAGAAACGTTGCAGCCACTCAGGCCACAGTACGGCCTAGTAGATTCAGCAACTGTTGGCAACGTGCGGCAAGATGTAGGAGTGGCGAGATAAAACACGAATAGTGGCACATTGTCCTTCCTCTCGTCGTGCACTGACAATAGTTGCTAGATTGACTGGACCGCGCTGTGGCTGCAACGCTTCTTCAATTATCCATCTCGGCGCACGCCCTTATCCTCTTCAGATTTCTGTCATTAATAATTCGATAATTATTACGAATATCGCAAGATGATATAGAACCTTCATATTTGTCTTGTTACATCTTGCGAACTCTGGACAATTATTTAAAAAATCTTTTTTTTCTTTTTCTCTCTCCTTTCGAACTTCCATTATCCTAATATAACTATATAATACGAATATATAAATATAAAATAAGAAACACACATATCTGGCAAACAGTCGTTGCACCAAATGAAAGGCGATTTAGGAAAATTTCATAACAGGAAACAGTGCCCTGTTGTAAAAATCTACACGTCTTCTTTGAAGGTTTATATCTGGGTAGTGTTCGCCAAGTGTATCCGTCAGCCTAGCTATAAAATTTGAAACTCTGCGCTAACAAACCTTCAGTAAAACAAAGCAACTCAGAGCATTCCTGCTCTAAACTTGAAACTTACATCTTCCTAATCCAAAACCATATGTGCCCTATCAGTCAACCAACAAAGCCTATTTCACTGATGGTCATAAAATCTTATCCTAATCCTTGATTTACGGCATTCTAACTTTTCCAGTCGGCCACTTGTATACATCTCTCTCTCTCTCTCTCTCAGGAATCCACCACCATCGTACTTGTCATGCCTAATCAATTCCGCCAATCAAACCAATTCACCTAACTAAGAGACATCCACGCTCCATTCCTTAGCCCTTCTATATTCATGTCTTCAAGCCTCCCACGAGATATTTTAACTTCGTTCTTAATTTCTAATGGCTAAGACTTTTTCCGACTAGGACCAATTCACCCCTTCCTCAAAGGCCATCTCTCTACCCACCCTGGCGGGTCCTGTCTCCGATCATCAGTATAAAAACCGCGACATACGCATCCGCGAGCATTCAGATTCTAGATTCAAAAAAGTCAGACTTGCATTCAGATTTTAGCATTTTAGATTCAAAAAGATCAGACTCAAGGTCAGATTCAAAAGACTCTTACTCAGATTCAGAATTTAGAATTCAGCACCATTATTAGCATTCGAAAGATCTAGATATTCAGATTCAAAATTTAGAATTCAGCATTCGAGCAAAAACGTGACCTGTGGCAAGTGCGAAGTGAATATCGCTCTCAGTGAGATCTCGCCAACCCTCCTCAACCAAAGAATTGGCTGTCATCAATTGGACATCCGCAAACGGACCCCACGTGGACTATTTCCAATTATTGTTTTCCTCGTGTAATCATCGGAACCAGCAGTAAGTTGTTTTCTTTTGTTCTACCTCCCTTATCGCCATTTTTGTCAATTCTGCCATCGTTGAAATCCGGTTTTAGTGGGCCATTATTACCATTTGGTGATATCCATCCAACAAGTCCTCCGTTTTTTTGAGACGGTGTATGGGATTAGAGATCCTTATGAGTTTGAACGCCAACTTCAATACCTCTGCTCTATCATTAATGTTTCTTTAGAAATTGATTACCATCCAGACTCGACACTCTTACCCCCCTTACTACTCCAACGGTTACTTCTTAGTCCTTCTTCTCCTCCTACTCATGCGTCCACTTCTTCCACCCCTTTGATATCTTATTCCCCAGTTTCCTTCTCCGAACTATCCACTCCCTTAAATTCACTCGACCACTCACGCTCCCCCTCACCTGACTAACTCTTTACTCATATTTCTTCCCCTTTTTTTATTCATTCTTCTTTCACTTCTCATACATACACATACACATACACAGTCGTTCGTAAATCGTATTATTCTATGTTAAACCGCGCCATACATCATTTTGTTATCATATTCATTTTAATAAATTTGTTTATATTTTATTTTCA